CAACATGTTCGTGTGCTCATAATTATTTTTGTTTTTGATTTATTTAAATGAAGAAAAAAAAACTCAAATCCTCTCAAATTTTAAAACAAATAACCTTAAATCACACCCCAAATCACACAATAGGATTTTATATTTTTAATTATTTAAATTCCAAAATCATCACATATATTCAAAATCTACACAAATCCACATAAATCTCACCAAATTAGAAACTCCACCAAATCGATTAAAATACCACATCCAATACACCTCTTTTAGATTTATAATTATAGATTTTTTTTTGTTTATTCAATCCAATTTCCCATGTTTTAACATTCTTTTTTTTTCCCGATAGTACTTACATAATTTCGCACTTAATAGAAAAAGTAACCCACAAAAGAATTTTTCTTTAATGTGGAACCATTAGTACAAGACCACTTGGTTTACCTAATATCAATTTCAAGTGCAATAATTTTGTAACTAACTGTTTGTTACAAATGTCATCATGTCGGGAATTTATTCCGTTAAAAAAAAAAACAGCATTGTCCAAATTCAGTGAAGAAAACAGAAAAAGCCAACCGACAAATGTCACAAAAATCTCTCTTTTTCCATTTCTTCTTCTTTTTATTCCTAACTTCTTTACCGAATCTGTCTTCTGCTCATTGCTCAACGAAATTCGACATTTTGCCTGATTTCCGAGTCAAATCAAACTAAAAGTTTATGTTTTTTTTTTTATTGGGGGTGTGTGTTAGATTTCTTATCCAACTGGGATCTCCATTGGCTAACCGATTTGCGTAATCGGGGCGGGCCCTATAATGAATTGTCAATTTTAGCAGCTTGTTCTTGATTCATCGTTTTCATGGTCGATTTTGTTTCGGATTTCCCCCATGAGGGTTTGTCGTTGATGGCGAATTAACGCCATTGATTTTGATTACGATTACGATGATTGTATGAACAAACAAGAATCTTTATATTAATCTGGAGGGGTTTTGTTGGTGTTAAATGTTGAATTGGAAGACAAATCCAGGAGGAGAGAGAGGGGTTTTGTTTGATTGATATTTGTGTTTGAAAAAATCTTTGCTTTAGAGATTATTGAAAAGATATTATGGATCTTGTGATTGGTGGAAAATTTAAACTTGGAAGGAAAATTGGTAGTGGATCATTTGGAGAGCTTTATCTAGGTAACCAAACAAAACAGAAGACAATCTCTTTTTGATTAATCTCATTACTGGTTTATTTTTTTTGTGTGTGTCAATTCTTGTGTTTAAGATTTCAGAGTTTCATGTTGTTTGGTAATGTTGCAGGTGTTAATGTCCAAACCGGAGAAGAAGTTGCTGTCAAGCTGGTAAGCTTATTACAATGGTAGACTTTGAGGATGATTATG